AATTTGATTTCGAGTACGTCGGTAGCAAAAAGAAGGAAAAATTTCAAAGACTAAACGCATTTTTAAGCCGCTCTAAGCACTTAAATTTTGTGGACACTCTTAGGTTGGCGGCCATCTTGGATTTTCTAATTATTTTATTATAATTTATTACACCCAGTATATCTGGGTGTTGAAAGTCATGTGACCGGCCGGTGCCAGGGCCTTTTCCCGCCTTCCCAATGACAAAAAGGGAAAAGCCCTGGGAACGAGGTTGATTTCATTTAGGACAGATAATCTCAACTGTTTTAGGGCAAGTTGACCATGACGGTCGACATGGTAACGCTGCCCGAACCCCAATCCAGGGCGAAACGTCCGAAACTGACCACACCCAAAAACGACGCTCTCGCCATAGTGCTATCTACCAAACCATAAAAGCATTGGCTATTCTGAGGTGCTTATATGGTTCAGAGATGATACTTTTAGGTACTGGTACTGTTTAACCATCGACAAGGTAAAACCACAACTTTGTCCAATTCGGCACCATTTTGTCATCCCATGTCGGTTGTAAACATTTCGCCCTCGTTATTCTTCCATACAAGCCATTTTCATTCCAATAAAAATAAAATGAACCCATTGTTAAGGGTATCAAAATAAATATGTAAACAAAATAGAAAAAATGCAACAATTTATCGCCCTGTAAGATCTTGCTTACGAGTCTTTCAAAACATTCCGTACAAATCTCGCGTGGCAAAGCAACAAGGCCGTGACAGGGGGGGGTGAATTTTTTCACGAAGATAGAAGAAGGATGCGTGAAATGGACTAAAATCTAAATACAATCTTACAAACGTTTGCTTTATTTCTTGTAGCGACCATATGAATATGTCATACTATAAATTAAATGTTGATTGTTGGTCTTACAACACTGCTATTACTGCGTGCTTTTGCTTTGCTTTAATCTTCAAAGTCTTCACCCCCCCCCACCCTGTTGCTTTGCCACGCGAGATTTTGTACGGAATGTTTTGAAAGACTCGTAAGCAAGATTTTACAGGGTGATAAAATGCTGCATTTTTTCTATTTTGTTTACATATTTATTTTGATACCCTTAACGAAGGGTTCAATTCTCTTATTATTCGAATGAAAATGGCTTGGATGGAAGAATAACAAGGGCGAAATGTTTACAACCGACATTGGATGACAAAATGGCGCCGAATTGGACAAAGTTGTGGTTTCACCTTGTCGATGGTTAAACAGCTAGGATCTGCTTGAAACCTATTTAAAACTTGTTTAAAATGTGCTTGATACCATTGTGTCTGAGCTGCCGTAGATATTTGGAAGGATTTCAACGATATTGGCGATAAACAGTGGAGTAAAGTGGAGAATTTGGCCAAATACGTCCATTTGCAGGAGGTAGGTACATTTCAAATTATTATTTCGGTCACAAAGTATTAACTATTTTAGAGCAAAACAGTGATAATATACTTAAATAAGTACCAATTATGTTTCTATAAAAAAGATTTAGGAAATAAGGTAATGTACGTCCACTGCTGTTTATCTGAATTTGTAAGTCACAAATTGACGTTTGACTATGAGTATTGCATGGTCATTTTCTTGTAAAATATCAGTGCTAGGCATTTTACACTTACCAATGACCACCCCTAAAAGCACTATCTCTGAACCATATAAGCACCTCAGAATAGCCAAAACTTTTATGGTTTGGTAGATAGCACTATGGCGAGAGCGTCGTTTTTGGGTGTGGTCAGTTTCGGACGTTTCGCCCCGGATTGGGGTTCGGGCAGTGTTACCATGTCGACCGTCATGGTCAACTTGCCCTAAAACAGTTGAGATTATCTGTCCTAAATTAAATGCATACAAATTCATATACAGGTCCTAGACTACTGTAAATATAAACATCACTCGCTCGACAAAACAGTGGATGTCTTGAATAGTTGGTGTATATCACGTCGCATCCAAAATGTCAACATCGCTACAATGACGCCGGAGAAATTTGACAAACTTCTCAGAAAGTTTGATGCAGAAGTTAAGAAAAGAGACGGAACGGATTATGAACCAGATTCCCTGAGAATAATGCAGAGTGCCATTGAGCGTTATCTCAAGGAAAATGGTTACAAAACGTGTGTCGTGCGAGACAGAGAGTTTCGGAACTCGTAAAAAGTAAATCTCCGTCGAGAAGGAATGGGAAAACAACCCAATAAAGCTCATCCACTGGCCCCAGAAGAAGAGTCTTCCCTATGGAATAAAGGGCAACTGGGAGAACACAATGGGCGAGTGTTAACAAATGTCAACTTTAAAAACTTAACTGAACAACTTGGATTACGAGGGGCGACAAGAACATTATGACTCCTATGTCGAGGACTTCTTGATACGACGACAAGAAGACAGAGGCGAACTCGTAGAATACCGGGAAAATCCCACAAAGACGAGAACCGGTGGTCTAAGAATAAAGAGAATATCAACACCACAAATGATGTTTAGTACCGACGGCGGTGAGAGAGATCCAGTACGCCTTTTCAAGCTGCATGTGGCTTTCCAAAAGACCGGAAAGGA